AGAGAGTTTGAAATGAAAGTTGAAGGTGATGAGGGTGTGTGTGTTCGGTCGAAGGTAGAAAAAAAGAGGGAAGAAGAGAGAGGGTGAGGTGATAGATGCATGGGGATGTGAGAATGGTGCAATGTTATCCTACATACAAGTTTGAGGCGTCCCCCCCCCCCCATTAATCTCCCATTAATCTCATTTCTCTTTCTTTTTTTTAATCTTGGGCTTAAATGGGCCTAAGGAAAGAAGATATGGATTAATTTGGCCCACTTCTGACCTTGTTTCGAAACTATGAGGTTCATGGAGAAGGTTTTCGGCCCATTGGGCTCCTTTGGATAGTTCACAGCCCAATTTGCATAAAATACTAGGTTTTATGGTTTATTAGGGTTAATTTGTTTTGTTATGGCCCAACAAGGCCCATTGAGGATAATTCAATTCATTTTAGATCCATTATGGATCAAAATGTTAGGTTTCATGAAAGTGGGTCCAATTAGGGCCCATTTAACGGTTCTAAGCCCAAAATAGCCAAATTGGAAACTTATTGGTCCATTAGGCCCAATAAGGAAATCCTAGTCCAAAACGGACTTATGCTAGGATTCTTAGTGTTTCCAATCTTCCATTGACCAATTGAAGTGTTTGTATAGAGTTTTTGGATGGATTTATGTTGTCATTGAATAAACATCAAGCATGCTTTCAAAATTTTGGTTACAATGGCTATCATTGTTATAGTTACAAGGATATAGAATTTCCTAGTTGTGACAATGTGTTCATCCATATTTTGGGATGTATGTATATATGTTAATTCGGTTGGTCACGTTATATATGATTCCAAGTGGTAAAATTCTCTTGGGATTAATGGAAATATTTCCAATGTGAATCAAATTGGAATGGCATGACAAGGGAAGGTGGGAAAGCTAATTATGGTCGTGGAATGAGCCTAAAATATTACGCCAGGGATAATGTTTGTTGGTCACTTGTAACCGGGGAAGCAAGGGTTGAAGATTCAAGGTTATTTCATTTAAAGACATGAAGCAACAACAGTGGCTCATGAAGGATTCGTGACTAGGTTCAGGTTTAGGGTTTTGTTAGAACCTCTCTTCCTGTTCTTATCTGATAAAGGCCTTGGGGTTCGAAGCATGAGCTGAACACCTAATTAAGGTCTAGCAGGTTAGGGGATTCGGCTTATAGTGACCTCTGGTTAGGTATTCTTGTGGGTAGTTGGCAAGACCATGGTCTAGACCCATGGCAGTTGTGGAATTGTTGGAAGTCTACAGGGTAGCTGTAGCATTCATTAGGTTGATAAGAAGTAGTGGAAGTTTTTTCAAAATATGGGGTAACCGTAGCAGTCACTAGATTGACATGTGATTATGGGAATATGGTAAGCCTACGATATGGCTAGTAGCCTTTATTAGGATGAGGTAGACTATTGGAGGAACGATTGAGAGACTGTGTGAAGGTTGTAGCATTCATGGGGTTGAGGAAGGTTGTATGTTGATTTGAGGTCGGGTTGCGATGTAAGACTACGGTTGGGTCGATGGCATTCACCTAGAATGTAGTGGACTAGCTTTTGTTCATATGTACGTCAGTTACGTCGTCCCTTGGGGACTATTGGAGCCATTTTGGCCAACAGACTAAGGTAACTTTTGTCAATTAGACTCTCAGAATGATTCTCGATACGTGACCACGCATGAAGTTGCCAGTCTCAGCGGACGGTTTGGGATTCTACATCCTAGTTTAGTATAAGTTCAACATGGAATCAAGAGATCTCAGATAGATGAAATATGCAAATCCTTGGTTATCAGGATATGTGTTATGTATTGGTCTGGCACCTAAGGGTGAAACTTACGTTGGGAGTCACCTTGTTTCAAATGAAATGTTTCAGCCATGATGAAAAGATAGGGATTATGTCTTTCCACTAATAATTCAGGGTCCGGATAATTTCGTTTGGTTCGGATTGTGAATTGGATTTTTTATGGATGTAGCATGTGATAATTTTTTCTATTTGGAAGACAAACATTGTTTAGGGTTCCCATTTTTCGAGCACAACAGTTGGTTTTCTTTTGATTGCTGAAGACAGAGTGATAAGGTACATTTCTTCACCAAGAGGTGTGATTTTTGCTAAGAATGGGCTCTAATAGAAGTATTTAAGAGATTTGGATATAGTGAAAGTGGAAGTAGTAAGGAATGATATCGAGGACGAAATTTACTTTAGGTGGAGGAGAGTTATAACATCATATTTTGAGAAGTTCTTATTTCAGGGTTGTGGGCAATAAATGAATCAAATGGAGGCCTTGGGTTTCAATGGAATGAAGTTTAGACTCTATTAGAGGTGTATGATGTTAGACAAGTGATTTAAACCTTGGTTTGTTCGATGGAAGTCGAGGAGTAAAATGAGAAAGGTTATGTTTCAAACACCTTGCATAAATTAAGGATTTTATTTCGAGATGTTTTTAGTCATAAGTATCAAGATAGAGTTGTAGAGCTCGTCGATACGTTTCCTTGGATATGAAGATCATCATAAATGGATTTGAAATGAAGAAGTTATGGATGTTTGATGTTAAGTTGGAAAAAGGGAGTCTGGCAATACGTTGGGCGTACACTAGCTAGTACGATGGGCATATTAGACTGAAGGGATACGTTTTTAGGGGGTTACATTGGGCGTAACTTTAGTTACGTTGCTCGTACCTCCGCAGTGCAAAAACCCTATTTTCGTGGTTTTGATGCCTATTTAAGGACTCTAACCCCTTGGGGTCTTCCTAACATCAACCTCCACTCTCTTGAGACTCCAACTCAAAACTCGAGCGCCTAGATCAAATCTTGAGCCTTTCTATGTGTTTTGAGTTAATTTTGGATGAAAGAGAACTTCAAGCTTATTGATTCTCGAATCTCAAACTTGTGGATCTAGAGCCTACATTGCTTTTCTCAAATCCAGAAGGTATAAAGCTTAAATCTCGATGATGTATTTGTTAGATCTAGCTAGTTTTGGTTTTTATGAGCTTTTTGGTCACTTTAGTGCATAATGTTTAGATCTTGAAAGTTTGTGACATTGTTATGGATAAAGATGGAAAATTTATCCATCTAAACATCATATTGATTCAGATCTAAAGGTTGGAGATTTGGACTTAATGGATTAAGTTCAAAAAGATGCATTTTTGGTTCCTTTGAGACTTAAGGACTAGATCTTGGTTTTTTGGACCATCCTAATGGATAATTTTGTAAACTTTATCCATTATGGAGCTATTAGGAGTCATAAAAATGTGATATTGGTCTCTTTCTTCCCTCCATGCAAGAGTCGTGATGCTTTGGTTTGTGGATTAAGTTAGGATTTTGGTGTATGGACTCCTTCTAGCCATGGAAAGTCATAAAGTTGGAAACTTTCGGACTTAGAATGTTATTCGGGACTAGATTTGAGCTTTGGACGTGAGATCTTAATGAAATAAGCACTTAATGAAGGTAAATAGAATTGGTCGAGTACGTTGGAAGTACCTGGTAGTACGATAAGCGTAGCGCACTGGAGCCCCATAAACAGGAAGGGATCTACTATGTTGGGTGTAGTGACTAAGTACGTTGGGCATACTGTGTTGACCTCCTTTGACTTTTTACTTTGACCAGAAATTTGACCAAGTTTGATCTATGGGCATTTTGGATCATTTGAATAGTAGTTTGAGATTTGGGTCCCTACTAATTGTATAGGTGATTGGTAGATATTGCTTTTGGAGCAGTGATCGGTGCAACTATTCTTTCAGATTGTGAGGTGTGTCTCCTCACCGTACTTGTGGGTCGATAACACCAATGTCGGTCCATTGACTTATGTTGTAGGAAAGTAGTGGTCTTTATGACACTTACCGATATGTTTGCATATGCTTGATGTTTTTGTGACTATTACTGGTATGACTGTATATTATATGCATAGAGCTAATCTCGCCTTGGAGTCATTATGGACTTGGGGTTGAAACGGACCCGACAAGGCTACATGTTGTTACGTGGAGTCATTATGGACTCGGGGTTGATACAGACTCGGGGGTTGATATAGACCCGACACATCCACATGTTATTATATTTATATATGTGTGTTGTATGTGGTACTCTAGGGAACTCACTAAGTTTTGTGCTCATAGTTTATGGTTATGGTTTCAGGTACTTCCGTTTTCAAAGGAAGGAACCGGCTTGATCGCACTGCATCCCCTGGGGTTTTATTTCACACTGAAAGTTTACAAATTACTCTGATTTTTTAGAATACTTTGACTCTGATAGTCTTTTGGAATAACAAAACGAATGGTTTTAACTTAATTAAAATTAAATTTGCACTCAGTATTTTTGGGTCGTTACACATTATCTTCAGAATCAGTTTTATTTTTCTTTAGTGGTAGGATCATATTGAACAGAGGTAACGACTCACCGCCCAAGCGATGGAAATACGTGTTTGCTTGAAGGATTACTTGGACAACATTGAGAGAATATAAAATTAGGTTTTGCTTGAAAAATTGGTTTTACCACTCATCGAAGAGTTCATCTAAGAATAAAATGTTGCACGAGATATATCACCTACCGAACTAAATGAGGATCAATTTGAAAAATTATCAGATTAAAAATGTTCGATTTCGTGAAGATGAAAATTTTCAAGACTATTATTACTAGTATTTTCAATTTCAGTGTTTATGTTTTAAGTTTGATTTATGTTATTTTTTATTTTTTATTATAACACTAAAAATAATACAAATATTTATTTGGTTGGAGTAAATTTCGAATAATAAATAAGTAGATTTTTTATAGACTCCAAGGAAACAGTTTTTTTTTTTCTTTACAAAATTGCAAAGTTGTTCTTGATTCACAGAAAATTATATGGTTTTAATCCAAAAATATTGTGGTATGGTTTTAATCCAAAAATATTGTGGTAGATATCGAGTGCAATTTTATATCTTTTAAGTGATTTTGGTCAAATATACACTTAAAATTACTTTTATACATTACAATTTATATTTTCCATTTTTTAATTATTGTAATCCTTCAATTATTTAGAATTTAAAAAATTGTCCAACCCATCCCACCCCACTGTTCTCTCTTTCCCATCTCTCGCCGGAAACCACCATTACCAGCTCCCCTTCTTGCCCAGAAATCATTCTCAGTGCCCAGAAATCATACTCGGTTCCCAAATGGGTGCAAGGGGTACTCAAACCTAAAATTTTAACCTGAATATCATTCCCAGAACAAACCCATGAATTAAAATCAGAAATCATGGATGAAATCAAAACCCTAGCAACACAAGTTGACAAGTGCATGTAGCAGAAATTAAAACCTAAAATCCAAACCAGAACTTGCATATTTTTTTATCTCACTCGCATTTCAGAGAATAGAGAGATGAAGGAGATGATAGTGATGAACACGTAGTCGGGCATTGATGAAAAAGCATGGGTGGGGTGGTGATGAACAAACAGAGGCAGCGGTGAGAGGTGTGTCACATTGTTTATCACCATCTTCTTCCCCTGTTCTCGTTTATTTATATCACCTGCAGATCTGAGGAAGGAAGAGGAATTAATCATGTTATCATCTTCTTACTTCTCACCACCTACACACATTCGTCATCACAACCCAACACCATTGCCAGAACCATCTCACGACCTGCAAAATCAGATTTGAAGAGAATATACAAAGAAGAGGGCGAGGGATGGAACACGCTCATAAAAACCCACATATTCCTCCCACAATACTTTAATCGAATCTTGATCCAAGCAGCCACATGTAATTTGTTTTTAATCCTTGGTATTGGCTTTTTTGTATGTAGATACAGAGAGAGGAGTTGGAAGTCGTTGGTGGCGATCAAATCCATTTGGTTTCGAGTTTCCCGATAACAGAGTACAAAGCTTCTTACTCTGTTTCCCCCATTGGTGCTTCTCTTCCAATACCTAACTATGAAACCATCCAAACCAACGTCGAATCAGCGATTTAGGTCTGACTTTTCCGAGGCAACGGGAATCAGCGTTGTCCTCTTAGTATGCATCGGTATCTTTGGGGTTACAAGCGGGGGATGATGATTGATTTCGAGAGATGTATCATCATCACTGGAGGATGCGTTGTTGAGTTTGTCAGAGGCGTTACGATGTTTCCATGGCGCTTCATTCTTACTGTGAGATTAACATTGGAGGAAGCATGGAGGTGATTGACCGTGAGAGGCGGCGGATCTAGAGGATGGAGAAGGGTTAATCACCATGCGGTGGGAGGTGGGTTTCTCGCTGTAAGCAATAACATAGGGAAACGGTGGGCCGGTGGCGGTGTTGTTGAGAGAGAGAGAGAGAGAGAGAAAAGGTGGGTAATTTTTTTGCTTTCTTTAGTCAAAATAATAAGAAATTTCTTAAAAAATATTTATATTGAGGACATATTAGTCATTTTATACAAAAATGTTCAACCTTATAAGACCAAAATCAAATCACAAGGTATTTGAAAATTGACCGCATGATCAAATTTTTTTATATTGATCCTTTTTGTAATTTTGTCTTTTTTCTTTAAAAAAATGATTAATCCCATTTCTTTAAACAAAATTTCAGAATGTTAAAGTTGCGACGTAATTGATATTATGTTTTAAAGTGGTAATTTTACATTTTGTGTAAATTTTAAATTTTAATATAAATTTGGTTCAAATTTAAATTTTTGTTACCAATTTACTGCAAAAAAATATATATAAATTCATATCTCTATAACCTTATAAGTCTTTATAATGGTATATAGAACTTTTTTTTCCAACTTTTTTAGAAAATTCCTTCATAAAATTATTTTTCTAACTTTTGCTTTACTTTATTAGCAAATCAACTTTCTTGATGATTATGTTGTATTTGGAGTTAATGAAATAACAAATTTAAAATCAAATGAAATAATTAAAAAGCAATTAATCAAGTTGAAAAATGCCGCACAATCATCAACAAATATTAATTGTGCAAGAAAATTTTGTTACTATGTAACAAGATGCAAAATTTTGTTGATGATATTTTTTAAATGTTAGTTTCAAAAAAAATATTAATAACCCTTTATTAAAGTTTATATCTTTTGTAACAAGATGTCAAATTTTGTATCTTATGCAACACTTGACATTTATTTGTGATGATATTGACATTTATTTGTGATGATATTTTTTAAACTTAAGTATCTTAATTCTTATGTACCAAGATGTTAAATTTTCTTTATTCTACTAAAAAATTTTGAAATTTAAATATTGGATCACGCAAATAAATAAGTAAAATACCAATAAAATGGTGGTAGCCACTAAAAGTACATGAAGAAACATAAATAAGTCGAGATCAATCTACAAATAAAAACACATATTTAGCACATCTAAGTACTCCATAAACCTCTCAAAAAAAACTCACTTCCAACTAGTAAATAAATCATCATAAACCTTCAAATAAATTAATAAAAATAAACCGCTAGTATCATACTGAAAAAAACCGACCCGGTTGACATCCTTATCCCGGCTGAGTTTGAGCTTCCCAACGCCGGTGCCGGAGCAAGACCACCCGCCGCCACAGTTGGAGCTTCACCCACTGCCATCGGTGCTTGAACTGCAAATGTACAACCATCAATGCAATCAGTACTAGTTAATGAAACGTACAAGTTATGATAGCAAGGAATTTCAGAATCCTTCAACATATGCATCAGAAGTTGTACATAGTCGCTACTAGAAAAAGAGCTTGAATTTTTTAGGAAACAACTAGAACCCGATTCGTTTTTTTGAATATAATGTTCATTGAAGATCAATGGAATGAAATCTAAAGAATCAAGAACATCAGTGGATTTAGTCCCATATATGTTCTCATCTAAGATCTTTCTTTGAATATGGTTTTATGTTTTCGATTCTACAAATTAATCATCATGTGAACAGAAAGTAATCAGAGATCAGATCTGTACATACCAGGAGCAGAAGCAGTGCCGAGACTCACTGGAATCGCAAAAGAAAAATTCATAAATTAGGGTTTATTTCAACAGAGAAATCAAGGTGCCAAAAACAGAGGAAATGAAGAGAGGCTTACTTCCACAGTTAGTAACAGATGGGGCCTTGATATTGCAAGCAGTGGGTAAAGCTAGGGCTTTGGTGACATTCAATGATATGCCCAATTGCGCACTGTTTTTGAATGCTTCACACAAACACTGTGCGTCTGTTTTCAACACCGATTTAAGACCTGAGCAACATGTTCCTTCCGGCGTCTTCACCGTGCTTCCGGCCGTCACGTAAGACAGGCAATCTGCCATGTTCAGTATCACTGTTGAGCAGTCCGCCGCTGGCGCTGGAGCCCCGGTGTGGTGGGCTGAATCGACGAGTCCTGCGTACATCGCCACCGCAGAGATGCATAGAATCAGAACGGCGGTTGTTGTTGCCATTTTCGCCGGAAAACTGTGCTTTTCTGGGTGTGTGTGTGACAGCAGAGAGATGGTTTCAAAATGAGGGTTTTTGGTGATGATAGTGAGACGTGAGATGTTTAAAAGGAGGAGGTTATTTTTTATGGGGCTTCATCGTACTGAAATGGCACAACAGGCCCCTTAACTATTATCATTTGTACTTTTAGTCCTTGACTGCATACTAGATCAACAAAAGATTCATTTTACCAAATAATTGTTTTAATTATTTAGAAGTTCTAACGTAACTATTAACTAGGAGTTCTTCAGTTTAATTCTAAACAAATGAGATATGTAATTATTTGTTGTTCAAAAAAATTGTTTTAACTTTGTTTGAAAAGTATTTGTATGTGTATGTACTATGTAAGCTACCTTTTTTTCATATTCTTCTTAAATGGTGAGATCAAAATTGTTTTAACTTTGTTTGAAACCATTAACTAGAAGATTCTAATCTAACTATTAATTAGGAAGTCTTAAATTCAATCTCAAGCAAAGAAGATATATAATTATTTGTTGTTCAAAAAAATTTATTTGTTTGAAAGTATTTGAGTGTGTATGTACTATGTAAGCCACCTTTTTCCATATTCATTTTAAGTGGTGGGATTAAACATGTTGAGGTTGGGTCGACAGAGGAAATGAGGGTACCTTCATTAACATTATATGGGTCGATAGAGGAAATGTAGGTACCTTCTAAACATTATAATGCCCTTTGTAGTCTACATGAATGTGTAGGTTGAGCAGCTTCATCGACCCGTTTCCCCGTTTCTCCAACTCTTTTTGATATTATTCTCTCTTGTATAATATTTAATGTAGATTGTATCAAAATGTGTGGGTTGAAATAGATGAATTTTCATGTGCTGTAAGCTGAGAATTATGAAAATAAAAATAAAGAGAAAAATTGATGTAGCATCTATATGACATGTAGGTTGGGAAGGATGACTTCATCCACCCTTAGTCCAAATAATCTTTTAAGGACTAAGGCTAAAGATGTGGTGTCAATGGCACCACACTCCACCTCACTAGAACACTTAAACTTGTCATTCTTGATATTTTATGTAAAAGTAAAGGTATGGTGTTGAAACTCATACTTTGGCAAATAGGGTGACATGGATAGATGGGGGGGGGGGGGGAGAGAGAGAGAGAGAGAGAGAGAGAGAGAGAGAGAGAGTTAGACTTGAAAATGATGCCAACACAAAAGAAGATCACGTATCGATGTATGGCACTGGCAATCCAGGCCACATAGGATGTCGACAATAGGATCCCCCCCCCCCCTCCAAAAACAAAGTCATTCGGTATTACTTTTAGGCATCCAATTTTCGCTCTACTTTATTTCATAGGATCAACGATCTTTATACAAATATTATTTTACAGACACGACATGACTAATTATTGTTAGTCAATTATTCATATCATATCATACTATATTATAAATGAAACATTTTTCCTTTCACCACATTCATTTGAAACTTCGATACATTTTTCCATTCACGACATTCATTTGAAACTCCCATGACTTTTCAATTTCTTTCTAATAATAATTATAAGTTGGTTAATAAGGTTAAATAAATATCAAACCTAAAGTGTAATCATATATACACTAAATTTCAATATTAAAATAATATATTTACTTCTACTTATAACGTTATGTTTTGTTAGCTTTTAACATATTATACTTAATTTATTAGTTTTAATATATTGTTAGATATAAAACATTATCATTTTAAAGATACAATTTTGAAACATTTTGTATAAAATATTTAACTTATTAATGTGAATATAACATTACAGGATCAACTTAAATATAAATTTTAATTGAACTTAAACAACCCAAAGAATAATTTATAAATATTTGAAAGTGATTAATTGTAGTCTCATTCTAATAAAACAGTAAACAAATAAATTTAAAAAAATTAATTAACAATAACAACTATAAATAACATTAAACCATATATTATATTTAATTTTATTTATGTGTAACTCACGGATAAAAGTCATCCAAACGATTGATATTATGCAATTATAATAGATGTATATATTATCATATAATCCAATATAATTAATAAATTTTATCAATTTAGTATATATGAATTATTATATAAAATTTAACAATAACCTTATTGTTATATTTAAAAAAAAAAAACATATATTTGTAAAGACTTCAATTACATAGGTGTTTTTACGTAACGTGCAGGCATTCGCCTAGAATATGATATATAGGTGATCATATTATATTTAATTTTATTCGTGTATAACTCGCGGGTACAATTATTCAAACGATTGAGATTATGCAGTTATAATATATATATATATATATATATATAATCATATAATTTAAAATAATCAATATATTATATCAACTTAGTATATAAATTATTATATCAAATTTAACAACAACGTTTTTATTATATTAAAAAAAAAACATATATTTGTAAAGACTTCTACTATATATGTGTTTTTGTACAACGCGCGGGTATTCACCTAGTATCTATATAATAGAAACATTTTTCTAAGCACCACATTGATTTGAACCCCTTTGTATTTTCATGTTCTCAAATGATTATATTTCTAAGAACCACATTTATTTAAAACTTCTTTGTTTTTTCATATTCGCAAATGACTTTTCAAATGTCTCCTAAGTAATTGATTTAGCATTAAACATTAAACATGTTATATAAACACTTAAATGTAAGAAGGATGTCATAAAAAAGTGTAAAGAAAAATTTTCAATAGGCACAATTCTTTTAGAATGTATTAGTAGTGATGGAGTCCCTAAAAAAGTTCCACAAGTTAAGGTTGTTGATGAATGTATCGTTTTATTACTTATAGTTTGGTTGTGTTATGTTTTTTTCAGTAGTGATGTGCAACTTGAGTTGTGGTTTGCAATTTTCGAAGTTACATGTGAGAACATCATCATTAGCCTATTTGTTTTTATCTCTTCATTTTTGTTTTAAATATTTCAATATGCTTTTGTTTTTCTTAGATTTTTGTTTCCTTTTATATTTATATTTGTATATGTATAAAAGGTTGTTTGAACCACATATTGTAATTAATTAAAGCAATACATGTTAAGTATATTGATATGCTCCATAATTTGTATCATAGAAGCTTAATTTCAAGTCCATCATTATAGCAAGTTGTATAAATCTTATATGAAGTGACATAAAATGAGTAGATTACAAGTTTAGCAAAGTTTCTTTCATAATTAGTCTAATGTTATTAATAACTTTTTATTATATGTCTTAAAAGACAGCAAACATGTCATAATGAGTTTTTATATCAACTTCGTATCAATACAATTATTTCGAAATTAAGAATATTTTAATAACATGTATGTATGTGTCTATGTGTGTGTGTGTGCGTGTGTGTGTGTATATAACTATATAATATATATATATATATATATATATATATATATATATATATATATATATATATATATATATATATATATAATGTGTCTTTTATATATATTTGATATGATTTATCATTGTTTAATAAGATTTTTGTTTGTTACAAATGTTATGGTAGACATTATAATGTTTTTATGTTATTAAAAGTTGTAGTATTTATGCTTTTTATATATTTGTTATTCATTAAATATATAACTTAACATACAATTTATAGACAATTTACAAACCTTAAAATAGTTAATACAATAATCAAATATTTATTTTTATACTATTTTTTATTCATCATATATAGAAGTCAATATATGTTTTATATACATCTATTAACATTGTTTTTTCATTTATAAATATTAAATCACAATTTATAGAATTATGAGAATGATTAAATAATTGTGTGGATGTGTGTGTTTGCTGTTTAAAAACTATATAACTATATTCTTGTGCAACGCATGCGGATTCGTCTAGTTATTATATATTACAACACTACCAAACAAACATATATTTGATGCTACTATGCATCATTGACCTAAGTGTCATATATTGGATGCTACTATGCATCATTGACTTATGTGTCATACACATAATACATTTGACACTTACGATCAACGATGTATAGTAACATCCAGTATGTACTTGTTAAGTAAGTGTCGTAAGGTGAAATAGTATGTATAATTGACTAACATATATCGTTTCTGTAAAATAGTATCTATATAAGGGTCGATAATCTTATGATATAAAGTAGAACGAAAATTTATGAACTATCTAAGTCTTTATAACCTTTATAAGTAGTCTTGGTAATTTTTCTATTTTGCAATACCTCATCATTTTCAACTTTAAAACCTTTCACTTATGGTGTTTATGATGGGAAAAAATCACTGAACCAACCATAAGACTTTCAATGATGTGCACGTTGATACCCATATGTGTTTTTATATTACTGTAGTATTAATGTATTATGCCGATCCGTTTATCATATACAATTATACATATAGCAAAAAAAAAATTCTCTAAAATACACTTACAAGTTGCATCACTCTTTTTTCTTTGAAAAAAAGAGATGTGCTTAATAGAAACTACAAGTCGTTCAACATGTAAGATACAACACAAGAATACTATTCTTGTCATATTCTAGAACAAAAGTGATGATTATGTGTCTTCTTACTTTGTAAAAGATGTATAATTAAAGTTGTGGTTTGATACTTTCTGAAGGACCAAATGTGTCAAATTGCTATAATATAGGGAATGAGAACACAATTTCAGGTGTGAAGTGGGAAAGTGTGTTGTTCCTTGTGGAGAGAGATTGTGCGGAAAAGTGTGCCATGTGCGCACAATAGCGACTTGTTTGAACGTAAACAAGGGGAGGATGTTTACGTGTCCATCTGTGAGGCAATCCGGGTCTAAAAGGTCTGTCACCGATTTTTTACGCACAAAAAATAAATAAATAGTAAATCGGTTTCTAGAATATGTAAAACCGGTTTTGCCAATGGGCTCGTTTCAAACTCTTTTTATACGAAGTTAAGATATAAAATTAGGGATATAAATGAAGCGAACATTAATCGAATCGTTGAACGAGAGATGTTTCATATGAACAAACATCTATTAATTCTTATTCGTTTAGTAAAACGAACGAATACGAGCATATAAATATTCATTTAAATTTGTTTTTTAAGTTTATTTATTTTATATAAATTTAATTTTTTTTATGAGATTACTAATATGTTTGTTTATTTTCGTATATGTTTAGTTGTATTTGTTTATTTTTATTCATTAACTTTCGTTTGGTTATATTTCTTTAGCATGTTCAGGAATATAAACAAAATAATTTGTTAAGCAAAAGAATATAAACAAAAAAAAAAAAACATTTTGATTATCTATTCGTGTTCATTCATTTGGCCGGTCAACATAAATGAACGAGCATTAACAAACTCTTATTCTTTCGTTCGGTTCACTTACACCTTTATATAAAATCATTTCATTCTTATTTTTTCTCTTAAGTTAATTTTTCATTCACATAATGAGGCGAATGTACATATCACATATGTGGGTCAGTTGACCCACCTTTTTTTATTTTTTATAAGAAGTGCATAGAAATAAAAGAAAATTGTAACATATTTTAATTATTTTTAATGAACTATACCTAAATCTTTCGGCAAAAAAAATATACATATAAATTAAGATTTTTAAAGCTTATATGTTATATTTTAATACTCTAAATAACTAACTCATTCAAGGTATAATCTTATAAGAAATACTCAAATACAAATAGAATTTTAAATAAAAGAAAAATAGTGAAAAAATCGTTTAGCGTTGTTTCTTGTATATTGAAAAAAAAGTGTCCTGAAAGTATTAGTAATGGTATAATTGTGAAAATATATCTACGTACAAGACCTAGATGAGTACAATTATAAAAACTTAATTGGGAAAAAGACGCTTATAGACAATTTTTGGAGGGGTATTTCAAAATTTAGTCATAAAAACACGAAATTCCGGTTATAGACATGCATTCCGCGGAGCATCCTCTACGGGTTCCGCGGAACGACGAAATCTATGCGAAGTGGGGGTATTTTTTTAGTTCCCCCCCCCCCTCCCCCCGGATTCGTCTTCGACTTCCATTTTTTGTCCGTGTCTCCGCATCGGTAGTGTTATTCAGTTTTCCGTCATTTCCCGGCGACAACGAGTTGAACCACGCCATTTTCTAGAGACAACAACTTCAACCACGAATTTTGGGCATCAATGGGACGGAATTTTCCCAGCATTTTCGTCGATGGATATGGCTCCCGGACAATTTTCACGTTTCCCTCTTTGGATTAATGTAGTTTTGTTTATATTTAAGATTCAAATGTTACGAAAATGTAATTGGTAACTTGCAATATGTATAGATTTAGATTTAGGATTAACTGATTTTGAATTAACGATGATCCATGCCGTGGAGGGGTAGGTCACTCCGCAGAGGGACCTCCGTGGATTGACGTATTCTCTCCGAGGAATGGATTAAAATGGGTAAACTGTCTCTCACCGAAAGTATAGGTTACTCCGTAGAGGGGTCTCTGCGGAATGACCTAAAATGCATTTTCCCCCTTTTTTTCCTGCCATTTTATATTAATTATTAATAAAATAAAACGTACGTTGCTACTTATTTCATAAACCGAATTATTTTCGATTACTGTCGTTTTATATTAAATTAAATGTATATGTTTTGTAGCATGATGATCTCGATCAAAAAACACATTTAAAGACTATTTCTTGCGTCTAACACAATCGCAACGAGCATTATTTGAAGCTTCATCATTTGAAAGATTCATAGGAATGCATGTCCCCAATGGTGACCCCTTACTTGTGCATTTGATGATGTTACATGAAGTAAGATCTCAAGAAGTGTTTGAAATAGGGATGTTTATTTTTGAGATACATGAGATGCAGTTGGATTTTGGTGAAACTGAATATATACTTTGATTAGTGGGTTAAGAGTTGGTCCTTATGTGAAATTACTCCATGACAAATGAGGCCGGTTAAATTCAAATCTTCGTGCTCGGTTGTTCCCAGACATTACAGATGCATGTTTGCAGCTCAAAGATTTAGAAGACATTATGTCTCCAAATTATTTGGAACTTCTGAATGAAAATGTTGTAATGCTTATTCAACTCGTTTTTATATTGAAAAGGTCTCCACAGACGGGACGTTAAAACGTGCATTCCCATGGCAGTATACAAGTTTGCTGATAATATAGATTATTGGAACGGGTATTACATTTAAAAGTTGTGTATAAATACAATAATACTTGTAATAAATAAATTGAAAATTGCAGGTTTGCATGGACTACATATTTATGGACCTATACTTCGGGGTTGATGCGTGGAATGTTTGAAAAAATAGAAACCTTTAGAATATTCAAGAAGGTCAATCCCGAATTGAAGAAAGTACACAAGTATACCGTTGCCGGTTTTATGCTTCCGTTTAAGGTTAGTTTCTAATGTATTTAAATAGGTATCATACTTTCGTTTTTATACCATAATAGCATTGTACTTCCGTTTGTCCGATATAATACTGTTGTACTTTCATTTTTGCTATAATAGCATCATACTTATCGTTTTTTTCCATAGATATGGATTTTGGAAACGTTCCCAGAGACAACACGGTATTATGTATGCATAGCAACATAATTGCCACAAATGAGGTCGCGGAGAAGAAAAAAAATGTTATCTTGGGTTCAATGTCATTGAATTATCAACGTGTATGTGGTATGTTTTTTATATTATAATTATATATAATTACAAATTCCAATGTTTTTTCATGTTAAACTAACAATCTGATTTTTACAGCCTAACAACCATCCTATTATTGTCGTGGAAAACGAGACGGAGCTCATGTTGTCGTTTTATATTCGCTATGTGAATTAGACTCTTAACCATGAAGAGTCTCCACCACAACAACATAGTCCACAATTTGTTGCCTCGCCTCCTCGAAGAAAGAAGTACAAGTCGAAAACATCTTCGACTAAAACAACTACAAATGCTTCTACCTCGCAACAGCCTGAAGTAGAAAGAACTTATATGTCAAGCGACACATTAACAAGGTCGGTAAAGAAGAAGAAGACGAGCACAAAGGAATTGGTGAAGCGTCTAATAGGCGTTGTGGCTTACTTAACTTCTAAAGTACATCGTGTATTACAGCAAAAAGATGAACCAGATACAAGGTTTGGAGAGGAGGAGGACATGGTAAATGAAGAGGAGGAAGAAATATATTACCATGGTACACAGTTGCATTATGATGATACATCTACGCATGGTTTGGAGGAGGACGTTGGACGTATACTTGCACATGTTGAGCCGTCACCGGACGTGGGTCAACATCACAAAAAAACATTGACTCCCATCGTTAGGCTGCAACGAAAGAGGGGTGTTGTATGGTATCAGCGGACGCCGATCACAGTGATACTAAACGCATATTTTAAATTTTGTGTATTTATAAAATATTACGTTATTGATAATTATTTAAGGTTTTACTTTCTTAGATCCAATCCACACCGGAATTAAAGAAAATCACCAAAGCAAGGGGGGAAATCAGTGGAGTGTCCTGAAAAAGAAGATGAAGACATTGTGAATGAAGAAAGTAATGATGTTTCAAATCATCTACTATTAGACAGTCTTTATGCTACTAGTACGTTGGTTTTTTTTTGGAAAAAATGGAATATGATCTCTTCATACCTCAACGCTATACACAAGCTGCATATACTCTCACTGGATGTGGAGTTTTGATCAAGGTTACTTGCAGTTACTGACTCTGGTGGTTAATTTCTTTGGTAACATTCGTTAAGTTTTAACTAATTTTTTAGATGATAATTTATATAAATAATAGTAACATTTTTATCTTAAAATGTATAGCATATTGCAATATGGAGTGGGTTGCTCATGGAAAGACAACCGACGAACGTAAGGTGGACGATATACCCTCAAGAACTCAATTTGCAACTTGGAAAATCATTTTTTTAGGAATGTAACAAATGGTGTTGGAGGCTATTCTAAATGGAAGGATGTGGAGATGCTTAGTTTATATGTGTATATATATATATATATTACCGAATTTACGACTACTTAATTTTTTTTGTTTGCAGGTTCTATTCCCCATAAATGTTATTGGTGTTCATTGGTTTTTGGAAGTGCTATATTTAAATACGTGGAAAGCATACATCTATGAGTCAGCATGATCTATGAATTTCTTCTCAAAGTACATAATTGTAGGGCTGTGCATGGGTCGGTTTGGGTCGGTTTTGACCTAAAACCGAACCCAAACCGAAAATGATCGGTTTCTAAAAATTCAAACCCAAACCGAGACCCAAACCAATGGGTTCGGTTTATCGGTTTTCGGTTTTAAACTTCGGTTTCATGGTTCGGTTTCGGTTTTATAATTTAAACCAAATCTCAAACTTATCTCTAAATCCCAACTCAACCATAAACTATATAATGGAGAGGCCAAGTGATATTTAGATATCACAAGCGATGTGGGACTCAATCAGATAATAGAAAGAAAGAGGGTGGAAAGCTTATATAGAAGAGAATATTGGCTGAGTTTAGTAATTGGGGCGATGTGGGATGAACTTAACTCATTGCCAAAATAAATCGAGAAAAACAACACTAAAAAGATTCGAACCTGCGACGTTTCAAACAATTGCCGAACGCATTAACCAGTGGAGCAATGCTTCAGCTTGTGTTTATAACCCAAAAACTACATATATATATACATATATAACTCACAAAATACATATAATATATGATATTCGGTTCGGTTCGGTTTCTTTCGATTTTTTCCAAACCCAAAAACCGAACCCAACCCGAAAATTTCGGTTTTTGAAAATTCTAAACCCAAACCGTCGGTTTATGCTTCGGTTTCGGTTTTTTGGTTTCGGTTTTGTCGGTTTTTTTCGGTTTTTCGGTTTCCGGGTTCGGTTTTGCTCACCCCTACATAATTGGTGGAGAATTAGAAAGTTTTGGAAATAGTTTTATCTCAGAGCTAGATGTGACTGAGTAATGGAACGATCTCCCTGATGGACACAGAGACAATGCAACGGTGGAGTTTTTTGAAACTATAGACACGCAAGAACAGGAATAGAGGGGATTGTGGAGTATTCGTCTGCGTGTTTATGGAAATGATTGTTTTGGGAGTACCAGTGAAGATTGATAAGCCGCGTAGAGATGCGCAATTTCTCTACAGAAATAGGATGACAAATATTATTTGGGATATTGTATAACTTGATTTTAGGAACTTTGTATATATTAATATCAAATACCTATTCTTAGTAATTTTGTTTAATACAAATATGTGTTTTATTTTGTTATTATATTTGTTTCGTGGACTGCCAAGTCAATTCCGTCGACTGCCATTTTCACTATAAAATGACTCAAAAATATGTATCATTTCATCTAATCTATATCACTTCATCTACTTTGTAGACCGCTAAGGAGTACTTGCTTCTAACTCGAGCATAGATTAATGTCTACGAGAACAACAATTTGGATGATACAATGTTTTGGCTCCTTTTAACCAATACATTCAACACTGACGCTGAAACCACCTTGGAAAACCATCGCAACACACTTGATATAGCAGCAAAATGGTATGAATTGAAAACATAAGTTGTATTATTCAACGATCTTTAGAAGAAGATTGAAGATGTACGTGTGAATGATACTGAGGAAGATATCTTGGAGGCGGCTAAAGAATAATACAAATCCATTAACAATAGAGTGATTTCAGACTATAAAGCCCCTTGTAATCTTTTGAAAGATCTCTCGTATTTTTAACTTGTATTGCGTTTGTATTGCTTTATTTATATGTATTATGGTTATTTATTTTTTTATTTTTTTTGCATTTGTATTATGTTTTTATCCTTTTTATGGAACATAATGCACCAACAAATATTACATACATTCAAACAAAAAAACATTACAAATAACATAAAAACATTACAAAAAAAAAACAAAAAAACAAAAAAATAAACATTACGAATAAGATGTAGGACTGACAAACATTACATAAAATATTACAAATAAAAGAGCCGTTTACATGAAAAAGATTTAGTTTTAACGAGATTCCAAACGTCCATATACTCGAACTCATTTCCATCAAACTCGCACAGGTAATATCCGTTCACTTCTTCAAAAAGTTCTTCATCGTCTGCATGAGAGCGTCACATTTTCTCATAATAATAACATCGATTGAACCATGTGAATTTATTCTTTAAATCCATCCATTTACTAACAATATCGTGTTTTAGCCGTTCTTGTCCTTCTCCCACCTCATGGTTGAACAAAACTATTAAGTGGGACCATTCATCACCAACAAGGCAATGAGGGGGAGCCATTGCTGGTAGACCCTCATAAATGATAATCCAGCATTGTGTTAGGACCAACTCCTCTGTTATCGTCCATGGACATGTACTGTAACGCATGTTCCAAGTATCATTTAATTTTCTAAGTTTTTAGGGTTTTGTGCTAGGACTTGACAAGTTAGGGAGCTTCAACTTGTCGAGTAGAGATCATTTATGAGGATGCGGGATTTAGATCCTACTCGACAAGTCCGAAGGCCCCGAATGGATGAGTAGGCGTTGTAAAGAAAAACCCTAATTTTCAAGGGTTGTACCTTATTTAAAGAACTTATGGCTCATTTATAGCCGCTTTCACCGTTCTTACAGTCCAAAGAGAAACCCTAGCCGCATCTTGATGCTTTCTTGAGTGTGTGTGAGCCTTGGAGAGTGAAACTTGTGCTTTTTAGAAGGAAACTAGAAGTTTGAAGAGATTGAAGTGAGGAGAGGGCTTTAGATCTGACATATACCTATTGTTACCATCCATTTGTAGGTAAAAAGTTGCTACCTTGACCTTTATTTGCTTAGATCTCATCTTATGGAAGAATATGGCCACTGTTGGTGCAAAAATGGTGTCATACCTGGATTTGGACTTGTCATGAGGAAATGGCTCCAAGTCTGGACACCTCTAGGTCTTTCATGACATATAATTGCTTCCTTTACCTAGTCTAAACCCTTTTCCATCTCCTAAGTGTTGTATAAAAACCCTAGTTATAGTGTTTTAGCCTTGTGAGGCCTTGCATGCATGTAAAGTTTGCAACTTTATGAGGTAACTACACCATAAGACATTGGATGTATAATTTGAAGCCTTAGATTCCACTGGAAATGACTGAATACAAAAAGGACCGAAGGGACTCGACGAGTTGCTTTGCCAACTCGATGAGTCGGGTAGGGTTTTCCTATTTTACGGATCCAGAGTGATTTCGGTGAGTTGATTTATGGATTTCGGTCAAGCGATTTTGGTTTAGAGTTTTCGGCCCTTAGAAATTAAGGAACTCGACGAGTTACTCAGGTGACTCGGCGATTTGACTCGGGATTTCGGTTTGTATGGACTCTGAAGGAACTCGAGGAGTTGATGGATGCACTCGACAAGTTGGGGGTCACTATGGACCGTTGACCTTGACTGTTGGCTTAGACTTTGACCAGGGTTGACCAAGTTTGACGTTGAGAGTATTCATGGTATTTCAAGATTTTGACAAGTCAATCACATGGTGGTTATAGGCAGTTGAGTTAGAGCTGCGCGTTGGGACTTATCTGATTCAATCTTATCAGTTTGACATTCTTGAGAGGTGAGTCTCCTCACCATATCAATGGGTCTGAGGCACCAAGGTTGGCCCATTATTGTTATGAGTTATGACTAGTTGGTTATAGGATATGTGGTAAGCTAGTTATTTGTGATACTTGCATGAAAGACCTCGGGGGGTTCCCACGGCGCTTATGTGTAAGACCTTGGAGGGTTTCCATGAAATTCTATTATATTTACATGTATGGTTTGTATGTTATTTCCTGGTAGTAAATGTGACAACTGTCAAATTTCGGTCAAGTCAAAGTCAACTAAAGTCAACAAGTCAAACCGTTTGACTCAATTTGCCCTTGGGTACTAGAATTTACATTATGAAATTTCTACACAACTCTCTATTCTAATGAGAGATCATAAATCAAAAAGTGCGAACATCTAGATCTCCTTAACCTAAAACTGTGGTACGTGGCTAGCCAAACCGATAAAACAACGTTGCATACTCATCAGGAGTGTGTAAGATCCTTAAACAAGGCTTAACAGTGTTTACGGACCTTGCATTGCGAAGCCGGACACTCACAAATGCCACACTCGAAACCTCTCTCAATCGTTTTCACTCTATCTCTCTTTATTTGAAATCTCTCTAAGTATGTGAAATCTCTCCCAAAACTCTCTTTGTATGAGAAATCTCTCTAGGTATGTGAAATCTCTCCCAAATCTCTCTAAGTATGTGAAACTTCTCCCAAAACTCTCTTTGTATGAGAAATCTCTCTAAGTATGTTAAATCCCTCCCAAATCTCTCTAAGTATGTGAAACTTCTGATGGATTTTAGGTAAAACAAATAAACTAGAAAAACAATTCCTAAGTTCACATGCAACCTACTTTGGATCTATGTTTTATCTATTGAACATACAACTTTGAATTGCAAAACAAGAACCCTAGAGGAGAGAGGCTATAATCGAAATTTACAACCTAGGGTTTA